TAAATATTGCAGTAAATTTATTTAACTGAATAAATAACTCACTATAAAGTACAGGGTTAACGGAAAGATTCTTGGCAGTGTGGAGGAGCAGAGGGATCTTGGGGTTCATGTTCACAGTTCCCTGAAAGCTGCCACCCAGGTGGATAGAGTTGTTAAGAAGGCATTAAGAAGGTGTGTTAGCTTTCATTAATAGAGGGATTGAGTTCAAGAGCCGTGAAGTTATGCTCCAGCTATACAAAAGCCTGGTTCGGCCACATCTGGAGTATTGTGTCGAGTTCTGGTCGCCTCATTACAGGAAAGATGTGGAAGCGTTGGAAAAGGTGCAGAGGAGATTTACCAGGATGTTGCCTGGAATGGAGGGAAGGTCTTACGAGGAAAGGTTGAGAGAGCTCGGGCTTTTCTCTTTAGAACGACAAAGGATAAGAGGTGACTTGATAGAGGTGTACAAAATGATCAGAGGTATAGATAGGGTAGACAGCCAGAAACTTTTTCCTAGGGTGAAGGTAGCTATTACGAGGGGGCATAGTTTTAACGTGAGTGGCGGGAGATATCGGGGAGACGTCAGAGGTAGGTTCTTTATTCAGAGAGTGGTCGGGGCGTGGAATGAATTGCCGGAGAGGATAGTGGATTCGGCCTCATTAGGGGCATTTAAGCGGCTATTAGATAGGCATATGGATGATAGTATAAGGTAGGGGTGGAGGTTAGATAGACCTGAGGGTTAGTAAAAGTTTGGCACAACATCGTGGGCTGAAAGGCCTGTACTGTGCTGTACTGTTCTATGTTCTTCAAATGAATTATATTTCTAAACATGAAAAACAATTAGTTAAGTTAAATATAATAAAGATGTATTGCAGCTGTAGCAGCTGGGCACTTATGGACACCACTATGACCCACACAAACTGGATCTGCAGTAAGCATCTGCAAGTCAAGGAATTTTACTTCAGAGTTGAGGGCTGTAGAATACCTATGATCCATCAGGAAGGGAAGAAATTTTCCTGGATACTTTGTTCCATGAAGCTCGCACACCCTTTAGCTTGGGTACTTCAGATTTGCTTTGTGGTCAGGAACAGGAGAATGTGATTATGAAGAGGAAGGTATGCGGATCCAGTTGGGAATAATGGAGAAGCCTCTGCCTTAGCAGATACCCAACAGGTTTGAGGTTCTTGAAGCTTTTGTGGATGAAGGCAGGGACCGCAGGGTGAATGAGCAAACTCACCATGGCACCACAGTGCAAGGAGCCATTGTCGGGAGTAAAAGGGGATGTGATTCTTTGGGTGACTGTATGATTAGTGGGTTGGACACTATTCTCTATCATTGACTGTGTGAATCTCAATAGCTAGATTGCCTGCAAGTGCCAGGGTTAAAGATGTGTCCTGAGGGCTGGGGAAGAAATTGAAATGCAAGGAAAAGATCCAGTTGTTGTAATGCGTGCGAGTAACAACAGGATGGGTAGGACTCAGAAAAAGGCCTCTTGTTTCCTGGCTCAGCCCTATTTATTTTGTTGGCCAACAGGCCTCTAATTATTATGAGGTGAGAACTCTGCCACACAACAGAAGAAGTCCTGTGGGGCAGTTGGCAACTGGCAGCCCATAGTACTGGGAGTACTGCCAGCACCAGTGAGCACTGCCCGTACTGTACCAAGGACATTGTGGAGGCAAACAGCAATCGTCTCAGATATAGAAACGTCAAAAATAGGAGCATGAGTAAACCATTTGGCCTTTCAAGCCTGCTGTGCCATTCAATATGATCATAACTAATGATCCAACTCAGTACCATTTTCCCAATTTGATCCCATTAACCCTAAGAACTACATCTAACTCCTTGAAAACATTTAACATTTTGGCCTCAACTGGTTTCTGTGGAAGAGAATTCCACAGGCTCACCATTCTCTGGGTGAAGACATTTTTTACTCATTTCAGTCCTCATTTACCTACCCTATATCCTTAAACAGTGACTACTGGTTCTGGACTCCCCAGTCACCAGGAACATCTTGCATTTACTTAGTCTAGTCCTGATAGAATTTTATATGTTTCTATGAGACCCACTGTCATTCTTCTAAACTTCAGTGGACATCGTCCTAACCAATCCAATCTCTCTTCATACGTGAGTCCTGCTATCTCAAGAATCAGTCTGGGAAACTTTTATTGCATTCCCCCTTGACCAGAACATCCTTCTGCAGATAAGGAGACCAAAACTGCATGGAATACTCCAGGTGTGGTCTCACGAAAGCTCTGTACAATTGCAGCAAGCCACCCCTGCTCCTCCACTCAAATCCTCTCACTTAAAAAGCCAACATTCCATTTGCCTTCTTCACCTCCTACTGTACTTGTATGCTTAATTTCAGTAACTGCTGTAAGAAGACAGCCAGGTCTTTTCATGCCCCTCTCCTCTGCAAATCTGTCACCAGATAATAATCTGCTTTCCTGATTTTGCTACCAAAGTGGATAACTTCACATTTATCCACATTGGATTCCATCTGCCATGTATTTCCTCACTCGACCCATCCAAATCACAATGAAGCATCTTTGTATCCTCCTCACAGTTCACCCTTCCACCCAGCTTTGTGTTGTTTGAAAAGTTGGAGATATTACAATTAGTTCCGTCAATTAAATCATTAATATACATTTTGCAAAGCTGGGGTCCACGCACTGATCCCTGTGGTACCCCGCTAGTGCCTGCCACTCAGAAAAAAAACTGTTTATTCCTGCTCTCTGTTTCCTGTCTGCCAAACTGTTCTCACTCCATCAGAGATAGTAGGAACTGCAGATGCTGGAGAATCTGAGATAACAAGGTGTAGAGCTGGATGAACACAGCAGGCCAAGCAGCATCATAGGAGCAGGAAGGCTGACGTTTCGGGCCTAGACCTTTCTGATGAAGGGTCTAGGCC